TTGTAATCTCCTATTTAAGGAGCTGAAATTATTGAATAAAGATATCAAATTTCCAGTCAAGAAAGAGAGTAAAAGGAGAGTTCGGTGATCTCTTGGACAAATCACCCTCTAGGACGCCAAGATAGGTTCAGCTAGGAAGGGGAGGAACAAGGGAAAATAGGAGATTTTCCCCGTGGACCGACCCGTGACGAGATCCTACGCCCGGGCCCATAACAGTGCATGCACACACACACACATGTACAAACACAGGAAAAAAGTGCAAATTTGAACTACTTCAACTCTTTCGGGAAGAACTAAAAAAACCACGAATGCACATAAAGAAATATAACTAATCTTGACTGATCACAAGGAAATGGCTTGAAAAGTTTTGGCATTAAGAGAAGCATCAAGATGGAGAGGGCTCTATCAGCATAACCATTAATTCCTTCAAAGCCAATATACTTCCAAACAAAAATGCCCAGCTGGAGGAGTTTACAAACAAGAAAAATGAAATTGAACATAGTGTGTTTTCAAACTATGGCAGAAAAAGAATTTTGCATTAGAGGGATAAGCGATTAACCAGTATAAGGTGATTAGAAACAGATAGCTTGGGGATTTGAATTCACAGGCAGACCATGAGGGAGATTAGAAGATTATCAAGGGAGTTCAATGCATCCTTTAGATAGGTGAGAAGATATGCAAATGGATAGGCAGATACACTAGCCAAACAAGGGACAAACAGGGGTGGAATTTTTGGGTTCCATTGTAATGGTGAAAGCTTTTGAGAGGCCAGCTTCCCTATTATTTGGGGCTGGACTGTGCATCCTTACAGCCTGTTTGGTTGGTGTGACCGAGAAGAGAAAATGGGAATATTCCCCTTAGATTCCCATTTTCATTCATTTGGTTTGTGAGACAGACTGAGAAATAATGAGATGCATTTTCCCAAAGCATGGAAAGCGGGGTCGCACTGAAACGGTGTGACCCCGGTGATAAAGGAAATGACTTGAGAAAAAATACCATCGCTTTGTTAGAAGCTATTTGAGTAAATAGTAGCGACGTTGGAGATGGAGAGAGGTTTGGTGGAGTAACAACGTCGGAGATGGAGTAGCAATGTTGGAGATGTGAACGGAGAGAGGGATATGAACACTGCAGCGGTGTTGGAGATGGAGAGAGGTCCGGTGGAGTAATGACGTCGGAGATGGTGTAACAGTGTTGGAGATGTGACCGGAGGAAGGGATATGAACAGTGCAGCAGCGTTGGAGATGGAGATCAGTCCGGTGGAGTAATGATGTCGGAGACGGAGTAACGATGTTGGAGATGTGAATGGAGGGAGGGATATGAATAGTAAAGGATCAAAGATATGGAGTAACGGCATCGGAGATGGAATTGTAACAGTGTTGACAGTCCGGTAGAGGGGCAGGTGATTAGGCAACAAATAGGGTATGGCAAAACAGGGGGTGGCTGAAATAAAAATAGAAACCAAGGAAAACGGGAGGGAGAGTGGTCTTGCTGTCGTTGCTGGTTCAAGTTGCAGAGGCAAGTGAAGAAGAAGATGAAAAAGAAGAGGGAAAAAAAGAAAGAGGAAGAGGAGAGAGAGAGAGAGAGAGAGAGAGAGAGAGAGAGAGAGAGATGAGTTTGGAACTCACCACGTTGACGCCACTTGTTTGAATTTGAAGGGAGGAAGACGATGAACAGTAGAATAAATTGAATGAAAAACTTAGTTTTACATATGTTTGGGGAATAAGGGTATTTTTATAATTTTAGGTATCTATAAAATGTATTTTTGTCAAAATATAAAAAAAATCAAGCAAAAGGCTTTTCTCAGCAATCAAACACCGGAATGCCAAAATGAGAAAATAAAATTTCCTTTCTCATCTCATTTTTCTCGGCAACCAAACAGACCCTTAATGGCTTAATCTACATTAATGAAGGTTTCCAGGAAGAAACTTAGGGCTGTTCAAAGTTATCAATAAAAAACAGAAAAGAAAAACAAAGCTCAGAAAGGAGACTCCAGGAAGACCAAATTTTCAGTTCACATAGATCTCCAGAAAGAATGAACTTTCAGGAAGGAGACTCCAGCACCTTGATTCTTTTTTCTTGATAAATACCAGCACCTTGAATGTTTTGACAGTAGATTCATTTCTCATTAAACCCAAGGCAGACTACAGAGACATCATGGCTTCTACACCCTCTTCATTAACAACTGGTCTCTAAAACAACCCCTTTCACAATTATTGTAAGGGGTTTTTATCCTAACAGCTTCTTGTCGTACTCTCTTTTTCTCAAGTCTAAATAAAATTTCTTGAGTTGCTGATAAAAAAAAAAAACATTCACAAGTAGATGTACAAACCTTCTCTTCAGTTGGTTGTTAACATTAGTAGCCATGGGAGAGTAAATTGTTACATGCAACTAAAAAATTCAGTGGAGCATCGGCTTAATGGTGTACCTTATGTGGAAAGCCACAGAAATTCTGTCTTCCATTCTTAATTCAGTGGAGAATCATCATCATTTAAGCCTTGTCCCAACCATATGGGGTCGGCTAAATGAATCCTGTTTTGCCATTATCTTCTGTTCAGTGTCATATCCATTGTCAAATTATAGGCGCTTAAATCATTTCTTACTACTTCTACCCAAGTCCTCAGTTTGCCCCTAGCTCTTCTAGCCCCTTCAACTTGTAACAGATCACTTTTTCTGATGGGTGCTGTAGGTGGCCTTCCATGCGAGGATATCCAAGTAATACCACAAAGAACTAATTGTCCAAGGGTACCAACTTTGCCATGATAATTTAAAAGGGTATAGATTGATGGGAATAAAAAATTATACATGTGTTTCTCTATACAATGATCACAAGCATACCTCAATACACCCCTCTACAATGTCAATTACATTAACTTTTTACATTATTGGTCCAACTACCATAGAGGGAGGGACAGTTGAATAAACTTTATTTGGGTGGCATGCAGGTTGACTGGACTTGTTGAGGACTCAAAGGTGGTATGCAGGTGCTGTTTTGTGGGCTTACGGTGGGCCATTTGTCTACTATGTATTTCTATTATTTAAATTTTGCTTAACAAAGTCCGTGCACTGCATGGGTCCCCACTAGTAAATTCTAAAACCTAACCTGATTTTAGAATTCATATACAACCTGTTTTTTTTCCTTATCAAATCCATATACAACCTGTTTCTAGGAATCTGTAGTATAGATTTTGACAAAATCATTCAAATTCCAAAATCCAAATCATTTCAACATGTTCAGTTTTAATATCTGGATTGCTCTAAATTTCCAATTAGATCCTAGTGTGCAATTCAATGAAAACAGACAAATATATGGGTTGGACTAATGTGAACATAGAAAACATAAATAATCATGCAACTGTGCTGATTGATATCACAAACATAATAAAAAACATCTAACTCCAGTAATCCAACTAACAAAAGAAAAAATACTTACCATGAGAGGATTCAACATCCAAAATCAAATCAAGTGCATATTCATAGTAGGGAACTTGACTGCTCAGTCCACAAAGGTTGAAATCATCTTGAATGTACTCATCATCGACTTCACAGAAAAATTCATTCCCTCGTAGATTGCAAAACCATGAGATCCAAGATGTGTCGTCCCCATCAGAACCACTAACATCCGACTCTTCACTGTCTGTTTCAGATTCCTCTGTAATTAATGCGAACAAACAATAACATTGTTGACAAATCAACAAGAGCAATCACATTAAAAGTGGGTGGAGCCCAAAATCCAAAAACAATGTTTGGTACCAACCAAGGTAATGTGATATCCTCATGAATAGTGTGTAATTAACAAGTAATAAATCATATGTGACAGATAGAACCATGACCAATGTTGCATGAAGCTCATAAGTTAATGCAATTGAAATGACAACAAGATGCATGCAGCAGAAAGTATCTAGAAACCACCATTCCTACAAACTAACAAGTTCTAGATGATTATGCTATGTTTGGTTTGAAGGAAAAGGTAGGGTAAGGAAGGGTTTCCCTACTTTTTTGTTTGATAAATTCCTTTCCCTACTTTTTCCTTCAAACCAAACACAGCCTTAAGGTTAGCAATTGCAGAAAAGTAGATCCTTTCGCATTAAAGGCAAAAGGTCATCAGATCTGTCTAATAGTAAGTAGACAACCACAAAACCATAAGCAATAAAACTGTGGCTTAATAAGAACAAACTACTTTTTATTTAAGAAAATTTAAGATAGACCATTGATGACAAAACCCTTCCCTGACCATCCAAGAAATGGCATACCCCCTTAGAAGTTCACCTAAAAGGAGGAAAAGGCCTCTACATAATCAACATAACTTTCTAGCATTATAATTATTTATTTTTCATAGAAAAGTATTTTTTGTTAAAGGTAATTTAGAAATCATGGAAACCACAAGCATAAGGCCGATTCTTCACATAACAGATACAAAGTGACTCACTGAAGACCATATAAAATAAATTATGTACAGATTATACAATTCTCCCAAATCCATCTGAGTTTTGCTTGACAGATACATTGGATGTGCAAACTTCTTTAGAACAGAACCCAAAAGCTTAGGCTCTGTTTGGTTTGTGGGATGGGGATGAGAAAAAGGGAATATTCCCTTATTTGGTTTGAGAGAAAAAGAGGGATGGGTTGGAAAGACGTGGGAATGCAGATGGTGCGACCCCGGTGGAAAAATTGGGAAATCACTGTTACCACTTACCATCATGATGAACAGAGGGAAGACCAAGAAAAGCGAACCAACGACAATGAAGAGGAAGGGGAGAAATAGCGACTCTGTCTTCCTCCCTTTCTCCCTTTCTCAGCAACGACGAACAGACAGTAGTCCCGTCTTTGTCCCTAGGTTCGTCTTCCTCTTCTCTATGTCCTATGTCTCTGTCCCTGTCTCCCTTTCTCAGTGCGACTCTGTCTTCCTCTTTTCTCTTCTCCCTCACCATCTTCTCTCTTCTCCCTCGTCTTCTCTCCCTCCATCTTCTCTCTTCTTCCTCTTCAAACTATGATGGGCTCAACAAGAGTCACCTCTGTTCGTGAAGTTCCTAGCGAAGCTCCTAGAGAGAGTCGCCTCTGTTCGTGAAGTTCCTGGTGAGAGTCCCCTTTGTTCGTGAAGTTCCTGGCGAATCGTCTTCATTGTCGACGAAGCTCTTGGCGAGAGTCAACGAAGCTCCTGGCGAGAATCGCCTTTGTTCGTGAAGTTCCTGAAGTCGTGCCTCTGTTTGTGAAGTTCCTGAAGCTGTGCTTCTGTTCATGAAGTTCATGAGGAAGGACAAACGAAAGAGGAAGGTGAATAGTACTTTTCCCATCCCATCCCATCCCAATAAAACCAAACACAGAACAATTAAATTTTTATACTTTCCCATCCCACCCGAATCTTCCCACAAACCAAACAGAGCCTTAGGTGTCTCACTTTTCTTCCATAAAACCCCATCCATAGGAATAGGAGAGCTCTTCCTTCAACAGTCCAATTATACCCCCATCTAATACATTCCAGCATGAAGCAAATTAGACCATTATTCACAACAACTTCTTTTTGCATTGGCAACACACAATATATCAACCAAATATTTTCTTCCAAGAAGTATTTGAACCAGTGTTTAAAATGCTAATGTGGTAATAGGCACAAATCTCAAGGTGTGTGGTCTAAGCTTCATCAATATGCATTATTTTTTAATAAATAAAAGAACATTGAAAACACAAAAAAAGATAATTAATCATGTATATGTATATGTATATATATGTATTGTATATCCATAATTAATCATGTTGCTCTGTAATTTCAATCATTAAGTTCTGAACTTTTTGATATATACCAAATATCATCTATCAAATTCACAACTTAACAGGAGATTGCAGATCTGGAAGCAATGGAGCTTGTAGATGCATCTGGAAACTTTACGGTGGCAAAGTGGAGCCCTTTATTGAATGAAAAAGGTTTTGCCATAGAAGATGGTGTCATTGTTCATATCCTTGGTCTCCCGTTCCATCTTTGGAAGAAAGAAGTTGTCAAGTCGATTGCTTCTTTATGTGGTGCTAAAATGGATGGTATTTTTGCAGTGGATCTCCGTGCGGTGGCCATTTCCTTGAGTGGGACTAGACTTGAGGAAATTCCAAGAAGAATTCATTTAGCAAATGAGCAGCTAGTTTACTCAGTCTGGTTGACAACGGCCATTGAAGCTGCAATATGGGAAGCTGCAAGAAGGAAGATGAACGGGCTGATGAAGACTACTTACGTGGAAGAAGTCAACTAACTGAAGTGAAAGGGAATAGAGATTACATTGAAATGGCAAAATAGAACCTAGGAAGAGGAAAAGGCATGTGTACAGAGGAAATAACTCTTAAGCCAAATACTGGAAAGGACCTGACACGTGGCTGGTCCTACGCTGAGGCTCTAACAATAGGGTCTCGACATGTGCAACAGGCTCAATCTCAGAAATCAAAACAGGCAGTGGGTCGGCCAGATGGAAGGTCAGACTTGAATTGAACTGAGATCTTGGGTTCAAGTAAATTTAACTCTTCACGTGACACTTTTAATGATGTGAGATCTCTTAACGGGCTTGGGCCTTCGGAAGTAGTAGAAGACATTCAATTGGGCCCTGTTTTGGGCCCATCTCTTGGGTTCAAGTAAATTTAACTCTTTGCATGACACTTTTAGTGACCATGCGAGCCCACTCACGGACGACTTTTCCTGGGCCTTCGAAAGCAGTAGAAGACATTCAATTGGGCCCAACTCTTGGGTTCAAGTAAATTTAACTCTTCACGTGACACTTTTAGTGACCATGCGAGCCCACTGATGGACGACTTTTCCTGTCCATCATCTTCTTCCTCGGCGTCCTCGCGCAAAACAGAGGTCCAAGGAACCTAGAGCAAGTCCAGGTGCAAGAGACTAAAAGTGCAATCCAAAGTTGGAATGTGAGAGGGCTGGAGAGTGCAAGGAAAAGGAGGGTAATAAAAGATCTAATAAAAAGAGAGAATCCTGAAGTTGTGATGTTGCAAGAGACTAAACTAGCAGAGCTGGATAGGAAACTGATCAGAAGTTTGTGGGAATCAAGAGACATAAGACGGATTGAGGCTCCTTCATGGGGGGCTTCATGGGGTATGGTGATTCTATGAAAAGATGAGGTATTGGAATCAATGGAGGAGCTGATTGGCAGATACACTATATCAATAAAGTTTAAGAATGTGGATGATGGGTTTTCCTGGGTATTAACCAATGTTTATGGACCAAATAGGCATAGGGAAAGAAATGAGCTTTGGGAGGAATTGTATGCAATATGGGGTTTGTGGGAGGGTGCTTGATGTCTGGGAGGGGATTCCAATGTCATAAGGTTCTCTAATGAAACTTCTAACCCCAATCAATCCATAACGACCAATATGAGGAGATTTAATGAGTTTATAGACATGAGCAAGCTGAAGGAGATCCCTCTTATGCATACCAACTTTCAGGAAAATCCACTATGTTCAAAGCTGGACAGATTTTTGTTTAATGTGGGTTGGGAGAACCATTGGGAAGATTTGGTGTCTAGAGTGTTACCCAGAGTCACTTCGGATCACCGCCCCATTAGAATAGGATCAGAAATTTTTCTAAATGGTCCCACTCCCTTTAGATTTGAAAATATGTGACTGACACATCCAGAATTTGTTCGCAAAGTTGAGGAGTGGTGGAAGGAGGACCTAAGCGGGGTAAGGTGGGAGGGAATCAAATTCCATAAGAAGCTGCAAAGGTTGAGGGAAAAGATAAAGGAGTGGAATAGGGACCATTTTGGAAGACTTGAAGAAATGAAGCTTACTCTCACATCTCAGATTGAGGAATTGAACAAGATAAAAAATGAGAGAGTTCTTAATGAGGAAGAAAGGGAGCCAAGATGGAAATTGAAGAAAGATTTGGAGGAAGTTCTTAGTAGAGAGGAAATTTGTTGGAGACAAAAGTTGAGACATAAGTGGATAAAAGAGGGGGAAGGAAATACAAAATTCTTCCATGTGATGGCCAATGGTAGAAGTTGTAAGAGCTTTGTGGCTAGATTGGAAATCAATGAAGAAGAGATATCTAATCAAGATGAAATGGCTAGAACCTTCGTGGACCATTTCAAATCCCTTTCAGTGTTTTAAAAGGTGTGGGAGGCGTATGCCTAGAGGTGCACCTCCAGGTGGGGCGCTCCCAAAGCGCCCTGAGGCATATGCCAAAGGCACTGACACCTCTGAGGCGTACACCTTAGGTGCAAGAGGCATACGCCTCATGTGCTTTTTTATGAGGCGTGCTAGAGGCGTACGCCTCATGCGCCTCGTGCACATCTTGTATGAAAAACAACAAAGAAAAAAGAAAAAAAGAAAAAAAGAAAAAAAAAAAGGAAAGGAAAGGAAAAGAAGGGGAAGGGAAGGGAAAGAAAAAGAATGAGAAGAAAAAAAAAAAGAGAAAAGGAAAGAAAAGAAAAAGAAAGGTAAGAGAAGAAAAGACAAGGGGAAAGAAAGTGGTTTTCCCCTTGCCCTTTCGGCTGGGGGCTTCGCCCCCCAAACCCCCCGCCCCCTTTTCGATGCAGCCCAATTTGTTTTTTTGAGTTAGGGGGTCTTGCTCCACTCCGATGAAGCTCGCTTCGACAAACAAGGAGTAACTAGGGTTTAGTTGTATTGGGCCCAATTATGACTTTTGTGTTGTTTCTTTTCTTTCAAAGGGTGAGGCTGCACCTCACACCTCCCATTGGGATGTTTGTAACAATCTTTATTTTGTTGATACTTGATAATGAATTCTTAATGAAATTTTATTTATAATGAAACAAAAACTTTATCAATTTCATAAAAAAAAGTAGATATAGATAACAACTAAGTGTGTCA